ACCAGTGCAGTGGCATAGCGTGGGGGGTGCAGGGGGGCCGGCCGCACCAGGCGCAACATCTGGGGGCGCGCGCTCTCTGCCCCTACCTGGCAGAGTAGCCTACCATGGGTTAGGGGGCGCAAATTAGAAGAAGAGAAGAGTTTGGATTTGATATCCCGCCTTTCACTCCCTTTAAGGAGTCTCAAAGCGGCTAAACATTCTCCTTTTCCCTTCCTCCCCCACAACAAACACTCTGTGAGGTGAGTGGGGCTGAGAGACTTCACAGAAGTGTGACTGGCCCAAGGTCACCCAGCAGCTGCATGTGGAGGAGCAGAGACGCGAACCCAGTTCCCCAGATTACGAGACTACCGCTCTTAACCACTACACCACACTGCCTTGCCCCGGGTGCTGACAACCCACGCTACGCCACTGAACCAGTGTCAGGGTAGAATAGAAAGATCAGCCCATTCATTCATTTGGGCCTAAGATCAGAGCTGGACTTTTTAAATTATTATTTTTGGCCAACAATCAAAGCCCATTAAACAGGATATTAAACACAGGCAAATATTACAATAGTCAGCAACAGTTTATTACTGCAATAGAGAATGAAATATTTAACAAGTTTAATAAAGCTTAATTGGAAGGAAATTAAAAAATAATGGATATAAGTTCTTAAGAAATAGTCTCAGACTCCTCTCCCTACAGCCCTGTTTCACAGGCAGTCTTGTGAAACCAATGATTGCGGTGCTTGTTCATTCTGCTATTCCAACCCACCCAATTCTTTTACATTTGGCAAACCCCTGCTAGGGCATATGGTCCTATTTGCCCTTGAACAATGACCTTTGCCCATTGCAACTACCATTTGTAGATGGCATGTGAAGATGGCTGCACACATAGGTAAACAGGAGGTTGTGAGCAACAAGCTTGCTTCTCCCCAAAGACCGGACTTTTTTGTGATGAGGAAAGTGATGGTTGAAAATGCACCGGAGACTGCAGGATCAAACAAACCAGAATGAATCCTCATTCGATAGCCCAACATCACCTAATCTCCCTGGCAAACAAATCAGGATGAATGTTCAATAAACGGGTCAGCTGGAAATGCCCCAGGGTGTGCTTGGATTGCAGCCTTAAAAAGTTTCCAGATGCTGCGACATGGGGCATCTTAAAAACCATTTTCTAAGAAGGGAAGAACAGATGTAGAGCAGAATAATGCAGCCATTTCTCTAGGTATTTTTCTTGGGGAAGTTGATGATAAGTTTTTGAGCAGATGGCATGCAACACTTGCCTGAATGGAACGCAAATTTAAAAGGGTTTGGTGAAAACTATGGAGGGGAAGCTTTTTTAAAAAAAACATATGTGGTTGTCTGATCAATATTGTTACACTCTCACCATTTCTGTGAGCCACTGATAAGATCTAGGATATTGCACTTAAAAGGAAGTTTCTGGAGGTTTACTGACAATTTGTAAGATTTATGTTATTTGCAAGAAGAAGAAGAAGAGTTTGGATTTGATATCCCACTTTATCACTACCCAAAGGAGTCTCAAAGCAGCTAACATTCATTGAGCATAGGTAGAGGCAAAGGGCTTAAAAACATACAGCGAAAGCCCATTGCTCCCATATCAGATCTGCAGGGAGTCAGTCAGCATCCTAGGAGACTCATGATTTGTGCGCATGATGGTACAATGGCAGTTGCACACCATCCCTTTTGATACTGTTGCACCTACAAAAGTTTTAGGGTGGACATATTGCTTCATTTCAGGTCATGCATGTCCCATAACCTTCTGCTGAAATCCTATAAATTCCTTTACCAGAAATGTTCAGGGCAGGTTGTTTGTTTTTGTTTTGAGTTCCTTCTTTTGTTGTGCTACAGTGCAAGAGTGACCCTCCAGATAGCAATAATGCAGTAACTTCGGGGAAGCATTAGAGGTACATGTGGAATGATGTGTGGCCAGTCCAGTATAAATTCAGCACTATTGCACTATCATTGCATCAATGAATCGTTGAAGGATGCACTTCCAAAAAATTGACCGTTGCAACCTGAATTTACCAGCCTGGTCTCACAGTGGCCAGCAAGAGCTCTATGGGAAGCTCCCATGTCTGGCCAGACCC